ATGACATCACATTTAAGTTGTTCAGTCATTTCAGTCACATCTGGCTCTTTGTGACCCCATTTGGAGTTTTCTTGGCAAAGATATAGGAGTAATTTGCGATTTCCTTCGCCAGCTCGTTTTATAGATGAGGAAACTGAGGCAAAAAGGGTGAAGTGACTTGCCCAGGGTCACACAGCTAACAAGTGTCTGAGGCCACATTTGAACTCAGGAAGATGAATTTCCTTACTCCAGGCCCAGTGTTCTGTACACTATGGAGTCACCCCACTGGCCCTATACTTAAGTACCTTGTATTTATTTGTATTTATTCCCTTTATTTTTATGCTGTATATATTTATACATGCATGCTATTACTGCCTCCTTCACTCCCCAGATGTAAGCTCCCTGACAGAAGAGATTTTTTTCCCCTTTTTGTGTTTGTATCCAAAGTGCCTGGTATAGTACCTGACACATAGTAAGTACTTGTTGAATGACTGAAGTCATTTCACAGCTGGGGGCTTCAGTTTCCTCATCTGTGATATGAAGAGGCTGGGCTCTATGACCTGGACGTTTCCAGGTCTGTATCTACGTTCACGTTCTGAAAGATAATGTTAGCAGAGCAGTTTGCCCAATTTTATGAGTCACAAGTCCAACCCCCTCATTTTGCAGATATGTAAACTGAGGCGCAGAGAAGGGAAGTAACTGGCAAAAGGCCATGCATGTCATAAATGGCAGTGGGGGTGGGGAAGGGTATTTGAATTCAATTCCTCCACCTCCAAGTGAAGAGTTCTGACCACTGCCCAGCACTGCTTCACTCCTTTCCATCAAATTAAGTTTGGATATTCCACGTAAAATGGAATTAATCATTAATGTCAAGGGCTCATCGTCCAGTTTCCTAGGCTTATGATGATGGCTAGGACCCTAGTTGCTGCTCCTTCCCTCTAGTGATGGATTTTCCTTTCAAGTCTCAAGGCTACAGTGCAACCAGAAGTGTTTATGGCTTTTTTGTCAGTGACCTTTGCCAGGAGAAAGAATCGAGATTGATTTTCTTTCTTGTCCCAAACAATGAATCACCTGAAACATGTGCCCTGGGCTCCTGTTCCAAAGCCCTCTAATGACTCAAAGAGCATCAGCAAATGTGGCATTAGCTCTTTTCTAATAAGTAACTGGCAAAATGGAAAAGAAAGGATGAGGAGTGGAAATACTTCAGAAGACTTTTTTGAGACTTTACGTACTGAAGAAATGTGCTCATGGCAGCCCACATGGAGCAGCAGATCACTGGAGTACTGAGCTCCTCTGACGGGCTGTCCTTTCAAAAGTTAAATGAATGAAAAAGTGACTGCCATGAGCTAAGGGCTCTGTGACCCCTGCTCTATGAAAGGGAGAGGGAACAATTCTGAATCTTCAACTATCGTGGGACATTGCAACAGAATGTTCAGACAAGAACTTCCTCCGATCCAAGGGAGACTGTGTCTACTGTCATATTCAGCAATGTGACCTCTTGGGGTCCTAGCACCTACTCCACAGAGTGTAGTACTCTTTTCCTTGATACGAAAGTGAACTAACAAAAGCCCAAGAGGCAGTGTAGTACAGTGGTTAGATTGCCAGTCATGGAGCCAAGAAGACTGAGTTTTAAGTCCTGGCTGTGACACATGCTGACCTTATGACCCTGGACAAGTCACTTGACTGCCATCTGCCTCAGTTTCCTCAACTGTAAAATGGGAATAATAATAATGGGAATAAAATGGGAAAAATAATAAAATGGGAATAAATAAAATGGGAAAAACTACCTCCCAGTGTTGTCTTGAGGATCAAAGGAGATAACTGTCAAGAGCCTGTTAGCACAGTGCCCAATACATAGCTACATAAATGTTAGTTATTATAATTATTATCTTACAGATAACACTGCAGCCCTAAGCACAAGAACATACATTTACAGTATCTACAAAATGAGAAAAACGCCTTGTGGGTTTGGGGCTTCCTAGTGGCTGGTGAACTTCAAGGCTTCATATTTTTGACCCATCCTTGGAAATCTCATTCACATTTTTTTCCTAGCCTGAATGGCTTCGGACGAGTTCCCAAGCCTTAAACCAAGGTGGTGGGAAATCCAAGCCTCAATAGAGCTGTGCTTCATCATATGTACCCAGCCCTACCCCTACTTTCAAGGGATACAATCACACACTGGAGGAGAGACAGGTATGGGGGGGGCTTCAGAAGTTGCCTAGCTGCCTAGCGCAACCCCCACATTTTATAGGGGAGGAATCTGACGACCCTCTGGGATAAAGTGATTTGTCCAAGGTCACATAATATAAACGGCAGAGTCAGAGTTTGAACTGAGGCCATCTGCCTTTAAACCCAGTGCTGTTTCCAGTGTGGTTCATGCTGTTTACTAATCCTGGGTTGGATCCTTACCAACTCCCATGATTCCCATTGTCTTAAGAGAAATCAGAAAATACTACAAAACACAGCAACAGAACGAAAAAACCTCAGAGCTGCAAGGGGCCCCAGAGGTCTCGTAGTTCAACCCACGGCTGAAAGAATCCCTATTACAACACATTCAGCAAGGGGTCACGCTTGTTCTGCTTGGAGACCTCCCATCGAGGGGGATCTTCCCTATGATGCTCCCCCCCCCCAGGAAGCTTTGTTTTACTTTGAGAGTTCCAATTGTGAGGGAGATTTTCCTAACAACAAGCCTAATGGAACCCGGTAGTACAGAGAGTGAAGATAAAAGACTGATTTCATTTTTCCTGCTTTCATTCATATCATTAAATTCTGAAGAAACTTCTTGGTGGCAGACACAGAGAGATTGCATGACATGCCCATAGTCGCAAGACTGAAGGGTAGAAGGAGAAGCCTGACTGAGAAGCTGGAGACTTCTCTATTAGCCTAGGAGTACCAAAAGTTCAATATGAAAAAAAATATTAACAACTTGCCCCTTTCGGAGTCAGGATTCAAAGCCTGATCTTCCTAGCACCAAGTTCCAGTCACCATGCTAGGCTGCCTTTAAAGGTCACTTTATGCAACCCCACGATTTTTTGAGGTGAGGAAACTGTACTCCAAAGAGAGTAAAGTGATTTGTCCCCAAGACAGAGTCAAGAATCAAAGCTTGTTCTTGCAAGGTAGTGTGGTATAATGGAAGGGGTTGCAGCGCTAGAGTCAGAGGACCCATTTTCAGATGCCACCTCTCTGGGCTGCAGGGTTTTGTTTATTTTCTCTCTTTAAAATGGTGGTGGAAGGGGTGGCATCTTCTAAATTCATGATCCTATGACTGATAGAATTCAATGTCGGACAAGACCTTAGAGGTTAACTACCTCAACTGATTCCTGAAAAAAAAAAAAAACCCAATGAATTATAATTAGCCTGAGGGTTTCTCTAAAGTTCAAAAAAGTATGACATACAACTTTGGAGGGGATGGTATAGTGAAGCTGCAGACCCATCACATCTTCACAAAACAAGGAAACAATGTCATCAGTTGAGAAAGATTGGGAATTACTGGTCCACAGGGAGTAGTGAGGAACACTGTAGGGAGTCAGTTTCCACATGGCTCGTCTTGGAGTAGGTCAGCCACCGCGCATATCCTCACAGTGGGACGCTCTCCCTGACATCACAGCCACGACCTGCCATCGTCAAGCAGCCCAGGACATTCCCAACTAACAAGAGACCAGCCAAGAGGGAAATGACTCTGTCCCTGAGAAAGAGACGATCATGCCCCAGAAAGCCCCCAATTGGCCAGGCAAGAGGTTTTTATTTTCTTTTGAAACTCAAGGAAAACAAACAGCACTGGTTTTTTCCCTCCAAACTCCCTTCAGTTTTCAAAGGCATCTGGACCTTGACCTGCTTGTTGTGGATAAAGGAGAGTACTTTGTATATGGCCAAATATTTACTGGAAGCTGCTGGCAAGACTCAGAGTGAGGGCTTGGCTGTCCCTGGGAAAAAAAGGCAGCGAAAAGATCATCACTCCCTAAGGCATTGAGGCTGAGTGGGGGATGTAGGGGAAGGAGAATATGTGTGCGGAGGGAAGAATGCTAGGAGGGGAAAAGCTGATGGGAAAAAATAGTAAGGGCTTCTGGGGCTTGTGAGCTGTGCCTGGAGGACTGGCTTTGTTTTATTAGGATGTCACTATGCAAATTAGAGGTTAAAAATGGCCACCTAAAATATATCAAATTTCCAGAGCCCTAAAAAAATTGTATATCTAGAGAAGGGGAGAGAGAGGCACACAGAGAGAGAGACAGACACAGAGAGAGGGAGAGAGACGGGGTGGGGGGGAGAGGTGGAGAGAGAGAGGGAGTGAAAGAGACAGAGACAGAGAGACAGACAGAGAGAGACAGAGACAGACATGGAGACAAGACACAGAGACAGAATAGAAAGAGGTGGAAGGGAGGAAGAAGAGAGAGACAGAGAGACAAAAAGACGGTGAGGGGAGGAAGACAAAGAGAGACAAAGAGAGACAGACAGACAGAGGGAAACAGAGAGAGTCAGACACAGAGAGAACAGAAAGAGGTGGGAGGGAGGAAGAGAGAGAGAGACAGAAAGATAGAGAGACAAAAAGAGGATGGGGGGAGGAAGAAACAGAGACAGAAAGGGAGAGTTCCTGGAGAAAATGAAGCTGCATGAAAAGCACACTCTTCACAATTAGTTTCTTTCCAAAGACTGAAGTGAGTTGGCCTCGAAGGCAGAAGAACTGGGTTTAAATTCCACCTTTGAACCCAGGCGAGACACTTAAGATACTGTGCTCTAGACAGCGCATTAAGAGGGCTAACTTGCAGAGAAAGTGTCCTCTGCCTTGCTAGAAGGAGTTGCTATCCTTATTCCTGTGCTTTAACAAGACAGTCTAAGGGCATCACAGCTAGAGTTCCAAATGGCCTCTGGGGTGTGTGTGTGTGGGGGGGGTTGTCCTAGAGTAGGGAAAGTTAGAGACTCCCTCATTTAGCCCAGCGATTAGGGACATGGCAGGTCTTTCACTTCGAACAGTCAGCTTAGATACAGAATTGCTGGCTCTTAACTTTTCTTTGATTTTTCCCTAGGGCTAAGAATGACACAGTGGATAGAGGACAGAGCCTGGAGTCAGGAAGGCCTGAGTTTGAATCTGACCTGTGTCACCCTGGGCAAGTCACCTAGCTCTGTCTGCCTCAGTGTCCTCATCTGTCAAATGAGCTGGAGAAGGAAACGGCGAACTGCTCCAGTATCTTTAACAAGAAAATCCCAAATGGGGTCATGAAGAGGGACACGACCAAATAATAACCACAAAGGATCAGGAACAGCAAACTGAAAGGAAACCTTCTCTTCTATGGACATACTGGAAGAAAGGCTTACCGAATTGGGAGTTATGGGCCAATGGGAAAAAGGATTGGTGTAACTAGGGGACACTAGAAAAAGAGCGAGAAGAAGGGCTGGAGGGAAGACTTGATGGAATAGCGTCCTTTCCATAACTTCCTCACAGAGCCTTTCTTTGGCATAGTTTAGTGGAAAAGGACACTGGATTAGAAATCTTGGGACCTGAGTTCAAATTCTGACTGCCACATGCTAGCTGTGTGATCCTGGGCAAGTGACACCTTTTAGATCTCTGAGCAACTACCTAGCTGAAGAGGAAATGCTGACTACACTAGGAGAGGAGATGTCCTCACCTGGGAGTTCCCTGCATCAATGAAACCTCAGGTGTAGTCCCTATCTCCTAGGACAGTTTCCCATTTTGACCATGACCATTCAACTCCAAGACCGTTCTAAATCATTTTTCATTGAGGAGAGTTGTTTGGGTGAAGAGTGGTTAAAGGCACAACGAAACGAGAAAGGAAAAGGGTCAGGAAGAGAGCAAAAAGATGTCAGGAGATTGGCTGCTACTCCAAAGAACTTTGAGGCCTCTGGCCTCCCGATGACTCTTAATTCAAGTCCATAACCTTCATCTCAACTTGCCACCCACAAACAGAGCCACGCCAAGAACCACACCATCACACAGCAATGTTCTGCCTCCAGTGAGGTTGACTGCTGAACGATGTTCTTACTCTCCCCCTTTCCATCTCTCCCATCTATTCTTTGCCCCCTTTGTGACCTCATCTTCCTCTCTTTGCTTTACTTGGCTCCCTACCTGGCCTAGCCCCTGTAATAAGTTCTTCTAAGTCTACGCTTACTAGCAAGCTAGGATCCTTTAATTCTGTTTGCCCCTGACATTCTCTACTGTCCATCTCTACCAACCCACAACCTTGGGTGTTACATATTCCTCTGTCTGCCTTCTCCTTCCTACTCTTGAACAGCCTAAAACCATTAGACAAAGCCATGCTAATTTGGTCACCCATTTGTAGACTGTTTAATGCACACCAAACACAAACTTTTCTCAGTTTCAAAGGATCCTGTTTACTGCTTGCTTATCACTCAAATTAATTTTTCAAATGAATGCTTTTCATAACCACCACCCATCTTTATCTGTCATGGTGTGATGGGAATGAGCAACGTATTCAAAATCCTATGACTCAGATTCAAATCTTGGCTCTACAACCTGGGTGGCCTTGGGTAAATCTCTTAACCTCTCTGGGTCTCACTTTCATCATCTGAAATGAGGGGTTGGCTTAAGGATTTCTAAGGCCCCTTCCAGCTCTAGGTCCTATTTCAGAGTTGAGATGAAAAACAAGCAAACAAAAAATCTAGTCCTAACATAGGTTGGGATAACATGACTCTTACTAACTTCCTGTGGTACTCACACTGTACTAATTAATAAATTGTGAGTGTACCTATTTATGAATATAGTTATGGAAAGTAGGGGGGCTGTGTATATATAAGTAAAACTGAGGAAGGTATCTTAAATATAATTTGAATTATAAATCATAGAATCACATGATGAAAGAACAGGATCGGACCTTGGTGATCTTTGGATGGAAACCATCTATCCGTTCAATGATTACCATAACTTAGGGTTAGGGTACTTGGTACTGAGTTGCCTGGCTAATTTTCTGGCTTCACTTGTGTATATAGACTGGCCAGAGCACCAAGGGAAAAGAAGTGCCTCTAGGTAAGGCTTCATTTGAATGGGTGGTAATTAGGGCTCAGGTTATCTCATTAAAGAAACCAGCTACTAGCCAGACGAAAGTAAGGTCTCTTAGAAATAAGTTTTAGATCTATCACACTGCACTCAAAGAGTGCGAGGTATGGAGTCACAGGATCTGGGTTTGGTTCCTGGTTCTACCACTTCATACCTTTGTGACCTTAGTCAGGTCACCTCAGTTACTTCACCTGTGAAATGAAGGGATTGGATCAGATGACCTGTAAGGTCACTTCAAGATGCAAATCTTTGGTGATCTGATTTATTCCACTGCAAATTCAATTTCAGGCTTCGATGGCAATGTACACTGAGAAGCACATGTATGGTGTTGGACACACCTTAATCCCTTGATGTGCTGGGTACAGGTTTGGGTTGCATATGAATGGACTTGTAACTAGTCCAGGCAAACTGGGCTTTGCCCCAGGTCTCTCAAATGTGGAATATGTTCTTCCTTCTATAATGCCGGACATTCCTGCTAGCCCACACCAACATCTGGAGCCACTGAGCCTGGGCAATTACCCTCAGGGTTACCTCACTGGAGTGCCCCTCCCTCTTCAGGGTCCACCTTGTTTCCCAAGCCTTTCAAAGGTAGTGAGCCACCCCTCACAGAATGACTGCACCTCATTTAGGACCACGTAACCCAACCCAAGTTACCCTAGTGTGCAAATAATTCTAGTTACAACTCTGGATATGAATATATTCTGGTGGTTTTCATAACCAGTACCAGGGGACCCAGGTGATCTACAAACAAGCTTCTGGCCCAACCCCCAAAACAGAACATACTACAGATCAAAGAATTTACTTTAAAAATTGTATTAAGAGACCAATTCAATTCTCAAGTATTTTTTAATGTCTTTTAAAAAACTAAACAGACACAGTGGACCTATACAACTTGGTACTGGCCAGATTTACCTCCCAGTGTGACATAAAAAATAATAACCTTACTCATCTATTTTCTCTTCCATGATTAAAAGGGGAAAAGTCCACTAGAACCATCTTTCTCCACACTTCTCAACTCTTCACAAAAAAGGGGGATGTAACATCTTCGATCACAAGACCTTTCTAAAACATAGCTTATCTTCCTGGCCCACTGGAGAGCTTAATCAGGCAGTGCTTCACCAGAGATTGCTAGCCTGAGAAACTTGACCTATGAGCTCCCACAGAAGAGGAAAGTATTTTTTTTTAATAGCTGCTTTGACCTTCCCACACTTAAGCTTGACCCAGATAGATGGTTTCTGAGATTCTGTCCTTCCCTCTCTTCTCATGCTGTCTCTAGGCTCACACCCTCAGGAATGCCCTCTAGCTTTCTGCAAACAACACCCCCACCCCAACCTCCCCACCCAGAACAGAAGGTAGCAAAGGGAAGGCTAATCATTAAGCCTTGGGTTAGGCAATTTGGAGACCCTAAATAAACTGAAGTAAATTTTCTTTATTCAAATATTTTGATAAGTGGAAAGTATTCTACTCAGCTGGCTCATCGCCTTTCAACACTGTGGATGTCCTTCTCTCCCTTCCTACCTTGAGAGGGGGCATGGATGGATCAGGTCATTAAGCCCATGCCTCCTATGTTACAAGCACACCCCTCTAGTCATATTCCTCAGTTTCCCAATTCTTGGCCTACATATTTAGAAAATTTCACTGATGAGGCATCACTTTAGCTTTGTGAGTAAGGTGCCCACTACCATGGCTCCATTCTTCCTTCCTCCCCATTACCACCGCAAAGAAAAGACAATTCACTCTTTCTAGCTCTTTTATTGGCATGAGTAAAATAACCAGATTGGGGGTAGGACTGGAATGAGTCTCTCTGGATGGCAGAGTATACATTCATTTCAGGATCAAAGTCCCCACCATTGACAATGGAGATGAATAAAGTACCCATTTCTTTAACCTTATATATTTTTTGCTTCTCTCTGATCCTTTGACTGATGCTGTTGCTTTATTAGATACAAGAGAAGAAGCCCATTTTATTGGTCTTCCAGGTTTTGGAAGGGTCACATGTTCTCAGTTACATAAAAGCTTCCCCTAACCTACAGAAAATAATTTGGGCAAAATCTGTTTCAAAAAGGCTATCAATCCAAGGATGGTTTTGTATGGAGGATTTAATACTGTCTATTCCTGGTATTGTCATAGGGTCATTGACATATAGTTAGGAGGGACCTTGGAGTTCATGAAGTCCAACCTTATCATTTATCATAAAGGAAAATGAGACCCATGAAATCAAATGACTTGCCCAAGGTCACACAAACGGTCAGTAGCAGAGCTGGGATTAAAACCCAGGTCCTTTGCCACCAAATTTAGCATTCTTAACACTATTTCCCTCTCTATCATATTCTGTCAGGCCACAAGCTTTTATCTATCCCATTCTTCAACCAACTAGTATTTATTCAACTCCTTTTGTATGCCAGATTTTATGTTAGGTGTTGTGGATACAAGAACTATACAAGAATTCTTGTGGATATAAGAATGTGCTAATGGCAATTTGCGATGTGTTTTTTTTGGGGGGAGGGGCCATGCAGGTTGGATTACAAGAGTAAAACTCAAAATGTTATTTCACTTTTATTTTTCTCTAAACAGCACCTGAATCCCAGTAGTTTTAGCTTAAAAAGGAGGTGGAATGAGAATGGGGAGATGGCAAGGTAATAAGAGAAAACTTTTGATTCTTCCTTCCCTTCTTTGTCTCAATCAAATCCATCAACTCCAGTCTTTTTCTTCTTACCAGCTTAGCTTGGAATAAACTGCCACCCCTCCCACTCGACATTCCAAAATTCTTCTCCATTCCCATTGCCTCCACAAAGGCTATCCCAGTGACGTGAATCAGCAAGCAAACATACTCTCCCTCAGAGTCAAACAACCAACCTCTTTCCTTCAGCCCACGTAAAACTGCAAAAATAGAAAAATGCAGGCGGCGGGGCTGGGTGGGGGGGGGGGGGAGGGATACCAGTGAGACTGCTATGAAATGTCACTTTGTAGGAGGGAGGGATTATGCCTTTGAGATGCATGTCATTGCCTCGGGGCCTCAAAAAAT